TTCATGGATCATTGATAATGTAAAGTTTATGTGACACTGTTAATAAAACCTTGTGCACTCTTGTTACTATGAAGTTTCATAAAAAATCATATCATGGAATGGAAAAGTCATATGCAATACTGATTTTTGCAGAGGTCAAAACATATGGTTGCGCAGCATATTTTCAACATTAATATGCCTTGAACTTCTTAATTCTTATACTAAAATTCTGTACTACCCCTCCTTTTACTTTGAGTCTTCCTTCGAATTCAGTTTGTCCGCTGTTAAACAGTATTTATACTGTTATAATTCCCAAAGCTTATCTTTATGAAATGAAACATGGAGATCATATCTGGGAACCAGTAAGTATCTATAAATATAAGATATCTCCTCAAACGGGTTTGGTTTGAGAATCCATTGTATTTATAAAGTGTAACCTGCAAGAGACAATTAACAAAATGATCGCTGTTAAGTGGTTATTGAAATGAAAACAAAAAGAATGGATTGATATAACAATAAAAATTAAATGGCAGTTACCCAGTATAAAGGATGTAATTGAGAGCAGGGCACCTGAGATATCAAATGACCCGTTTAGATTTTAGCTTTAAAGTAGAAAACTTAAATGTACAGTAGAAAAGCAAAATATTTGCATAAATTTTGGTTTAAAGAAAGTCAATTTTATTTCTAAGTGTTTTTAAAGTACAGGAAAACATGTGATTTATTTTTAAATATTTAAGAATTTTACAATACCGGTATATATTAAGGAAACAAGAACAATGACCCCATTATTTGTTTTTATTTCAGACAGTTTTAAAAGTCTTGGTTAAAGTTTAATAAGACATCAGTAACTTTTTCAAACCTTCATAGAATCTTATGAACTTTTAAAATGTACATTTTCATTTTAAGCTCACCTGGCAGAAAGGCCATGTGAGCTTTTCTCATCACATTGCGTCTGTCGTCTGTTAATTTTTACAAAAAATCTTCTCCTCTGTAACTACTGGGCCTAATTTAACCAAACATGGCCACAAGAATCATTTAGGTAACTAGTTCAAAAAATGTGTCCGATGACCCCGCCTGCCAACCAAGATGGCCAACATGGCTAAAAATAGAACATAAGGATAAAATGCAAGTTTTGCCTAGTATTTTGAAAACCGCTATAAATAGAGAAATTGACGGATGCAAAAATGTTCAGAATGTTGAGCTCTACCTATTGTCTATTTGCATCAAAACTGTCAGACGACTTCTTATAGGAGCTATTGCCCTTTAATGACAAATTTTACCATTTTTTAAATTTTTTTCCTTTTATCTCGGAAACTGTAACAGATAGACAGAAACTTTAAAAATTTGTAAGGGTTCCGCAGAACCCAGTGTCTCGCCTACTTTTGCTGTTAATCGCAGGCTCAACAAAAATGAAATGAGGAAAAAATTTATTAAAAAAAATATTCCTCTCGATACAACTTTTTTATTGTAAAAAGCTTCTGTCCAAGTTTTGTAAAAATCCAGGATAGTTTATGAATCTAATAAATGTTTTAAAAAATTTAACTGCAGACTGTATGTAATGTTAACTCGAAGAAAAACTAAGTCCATTTATAAGTAAAATATGGATAAACAAGTACAAAATTTTAATAAAAATTTCCTTCTAGATACTAGCTTTTGATCATAAACAAACTTCTGTCCATGTTTGGTACAAATCCAGGAGAGTTTAAGAAAGTTATTAAGATTTTAAAAACTTTAACCACAGAGTGAATGTAATGTTTCCTGGCAGAAAAACTAAGTCCATTTATAAGTAAAATACGGAAAAACAGGAATTTTTCTTTTTTAAATTTACTTCTGGATACTATCTTATGATTATAAACAAGCTTCTGTCCAAGTTTGGTAGAAATCCAGGATAGTTTGAGAAAGTTATTAAAATTTTAAAAACTTTAACCACAGAGTGAATGTAATGTTTCCTGGCAGAAAAACTAAGTCCATTTATAAGTAAAATACGGAAAAACAGGAATTTTTTTTTACAAAATTTACTTCTGGATACTATCTTATGATCATAAACAAGCTTCTGTCCAAATTTGGTAGAAATCCAGGATAGTTTAAGAAAGTTATTAAAATTTCAAAAACTTTTACCACAGAGTGAATATTTGTGGACGCCGACGGAATGTAGGATCGCTATGTCTCACTTTTTCGACAAAAGTCGAAGGCTCGACAAAAACCAAAAATGATTAGCAAGACAAGATCTACAAATAAGCTATAATGGGCAAAATCTTCAATTGACTTCTTGTGGAGTTATTGCCCTTTAATGATAATTCTTTACATTTTTTTGCATTTTTTGCCTATTATCTTGAAAACTATAATAGATAAATAGAAACTTTAAACAGGAAAAAATATCAGCAGAATAAGTTCTACAAATTTGTTTACATTACCGAAATTGTCAGATAACTCTTAATATAGCTGTTCCCCCTTTTATGCTGATTTTTACTAAAAAAAGTGGCCATTGTTGATGATGCAGGTGAGCGACACAGGCTCTTTAGAGCCTCTAGTTTTGTATTTTACTGATCGATGGACTTGGTTTTTTGCACTTTACATTTAAGGGATTAAAGGTCATAGACATCAATATCTTTGTCAAAACTTCACACATGAGACACAGTGTTTTGCATTACTCTTTACACATTTTTACTGAGAGGTCTGGGCATTAAGGTTGACCCATGTTCGTCCGTATGTCCCGAAATTGGTTTCTGTTATCTAACTTTAGTTTGTCTCAACCTAATGTTCTGAAACTTATACATAATGCTTATTATCAACAAACACAGATCAAGTCGAATTTGGGTGGCATCACTTTCACCGTTCTTGAGTTATGTCCATTTATGAATGGCAAATTTGGCAAATTTATTGTTTCCGCACTCTTAATTTTTATTTTGTCACAATCAAATGTTCTGAAACTTATATACCATGCTTATTACTATCAAACACAGATCAAGTTTGAATTTGGAAGGCATCAGAAACTTCACATATTTTATCATTTTTGAAGAAATAACATGATGAAAAATACATTGTAGCAAAGTATGAAAACAATTCATATTTGTTTTTTACTCAATAACCTATTTTACATTTCAAATCCAACCTTAAACAAAACAAATCCAAACATAAAGCAAAAAAAATCCAAACTTAAAGCAAAAAAAAACCCAGACATAAAGCAAAAAAAAAATCCAAACATAAAGCAAAACAAGCAAAAAAAAATCCAAACATAAAAAAAACAAATCCAAACATAAAGCAAAAAAAATCCAGACATAAAGCAAAAAAACCCAAACTTAAAGCAAAAAAAACCCCAGATATAAAGCAAAAAAAAATCCAAACATAAAGCAACAAATCCAAACATAAAGCAACAAATCCAAACATAAAGCATAACAAGCAAAACAAATCCAAACATAAAGCAAAAAAAAATCCAAGCATAAAAAAAACAAATCCAAACATAAAGTAAAAAAATCCAAACGTAAAGCAAAAAAATCCAAACATTAAGCAAAAAAAAATCCAGACATAAAGCAAAAAAAAAAATCCAAACATAAATAAAAAACAAATCCAATATAACATAAAGCAAAAAAAAATCCAAGCATAAAAAAAACAAATCCAAACATAAAGTAAAAAAATCCAGACATAAAGCAAAACAAATCCAAACATAAAGCAAAAAAAATCCAGACATAAAACAAAAAAAAAAACCAGACATAAAGCAAAAAAAAAATCCAGACATAAAGCAAAACAAATCCAAACATAAAGTAAAACAAATTCATTATATGAAGATTTAAGGCAGTCTTTATTTATTGATATAATTCAACATAATAATATGTTTTTAACTTTGTCAGATGATGAAAAATTTATATTTTTGTTCCAAAATGAAAATGTTTGTAGTTCTGTTGCCAAAACCTGCCATAATATTTTATGATGAAATAGTATCTTATACTGTTAAAAAATCATTGTTATTTTTTTATGTACATGTAACAGGTTTTATCCTTGAATGTGCATGGTGATATTGCACTTTTATGTTTTGTGTAAATAACAAAATTATGTTTTAATTCTGTTGTTTTATAATTGTATATAACAGTCTCTCATAGTTCTTTTAAGAATGGCACATACATTCTAAATTTTTATATTGTGTACTTGATATTATAATGTGTTTATACTTGTATGTATGTGGTGAGACTTTAATAAACTATTGAATCTAAACATAAAGTGAAAAAAATCCAAACATAAAACGAAAAAAAACCAAATCCAAATATAAAGCAAAACAAACCCAAACATAAAGCAAAAAAAAAAATCCAAACATAAAAAAAACCAAATCCAAACATAAAAAAAACCAAATCCAAACTTAAAAAAAAATCCAAACATAAAGCAAAAAAATCTAGACATTAAGCAAAACAAATCCAAACATATAGCAAAAAAAATCCAAACACAAAAAAAAACAAAAAACAAATCCAAACATAAAGCAAAACAAATCCAAACATAAAGCAAAACAAATCCAAACATAAAGCAAAAAAAAATCCAAACAAAAAATTTAGTTTTAAATGCAGGTGAAAGCATTATGAAATATAATGAAAATGTTAGAAGGTCCATGACTTAGTTAATCATTGATAAAAGGACATGTAATTAGTAAGCCCTTACTATATGAACCTTTGCTTGAAGAGCAAGATTTTATTGTATAGAAAAATTGTAATCAGTATAGGGAATGGAAATTTTTGGTATTATCAGTAGACTTATATTGTATCTGACACCAATAAGTGTAAGTATAAGAGAAACAACATTACACCAGCCCATATTAAAGTTACTGCCATGTAAAAGACAGATACAAATGAGATATTGGATGAAACTTTGCCATTGTATTTTAAGCAAAAAAGAAGGTTAAAAATGAAATAAGAGGACAATGTCTGTACAATGGTGGACATTACTAGGCTGCCAATTTGCTAATGTTATACAGTTAGTATGTATTGTTATACCAAAGAATATAAGAATTTACCAAGCTTTTCTTCCTTTTATTTTAGACTACAAGTGGAGGCACAAAATAAGCCAAAAAGGGAAGTAATTCAGATTTCAGAAGTAGTTAATGCATACAAGCCAATCAGTGATCATAAGTTCAATGTAAGTTTATTTAATGCACATTTTAAAAATGGTGATTCCATCAATAGTTATTGATTATGATTGAGTGAATAGTGTGGAAGCTGTGGTTCTTTGGAATTATACGACATCTTTATTGTTGCTATGTAAATTATGTTAGAACAAGGGTAATCTATCAATGCAAAACTTGCATTGTCCCCAATTTCTCTGAGAATGAATTCAATCTCAGCAAGAAGATGACAAAAATTTGATTACTAAGTATCTGAGAATTACAGTGTTAAACTCAGTGTGAATCAAATAAAAGTCATGACTACTTTTTGTAGGATTTTGTTATGCTCTCCTACATGGATCCCTTCACCAAGCAAGAGGATTGTAGGTCACTCTATGAGAAAAATATGTTAAACTCAAATGTGGCTTACTTTTTCTGGCAGGCTGCTATATTCCTCTCTATACTTCTTTAAGGATGTTCGTTCCTCTGATTTTGATTTTTTGCCAGATATTCCGAATCCTCTTGTTTTATCCATGGATGTAGTGACATTAAAAATTTTTGCCCTCTAACCCCTACTTTTCTTTTCATAATTTTATTACATCTAGTTTAAAAAGCCATATTTGAAAATCTTTTAAAATCCTTGTTTTTTTTCATTGTTTTTGAAAGAAAAAAGGTGCCAATGTTAATTGTATGAAAAATCTAGAGAGAATCATTTCCCGCCAAATTTTCAATGGCTTATATCTGGAAAACAAGCACACGGACCCTTCATTTTTTTCTGCATTTTTATACGCCCGTTTATGGGACGTATTATTGTATAGTTCTGTCCGTCCGTCCGTCCGTCGTCAACATGTCAGACATTAACTCAAAAACGCTTTAACCAATTTGCATAACACTTTGGTGAATTGTTTATATCTATTGAGGTGAGCTCCCTTTCGTTTTTTATAAATTTTAGATTTTATGTTTCCGAGTAATGGGGTTTTATTCATTAAAAAAAGGGGGATTTTCCTGTTTTCGGACAATAACTCAAAAATGCTTTCACCAACTTGCAAGAAATTTTGGTTAATTGTTTATACATGTATCTATTGACATGAGCTCCCTTTTGATTTTTATAAATTTTAGATTTTACGTTTCCAAGTTACGGGGTTTTATTCATAAAAAAAGGGTGATTTTCCAGTTTTCAGACAATAACTCAAAAATGCTTTCAGCAATTCTTATGAAACTTTGGCGAATTGATTATATCTATTGATGTAAGCTCTCTTTAGAATTTTATAAATTTTATTTGTTTATAGTCTGACAACAGATTTACTAAGTATTGCGCAACAGCATAGTGTATTGCACAACAGCAAGAAATCTTTAATTGAATATAAATTCAATTCATATAACCAATTTCAAGTTCTTTTTGACTACATTTATTCAGAAACCTATAATATGTCAAATATTTAATTACAATCCAAATTCAGACCTGTATCAAGCTTGAATATTGTGTCCATTTTTGCCCCAACTGTTCAGGGTAGGACCTCTGCGGGCTTATCCAGCTGCGCTCAGCGAAGCAGTTTATTAGTTTCTTCATTTATATACTATCAATTTATAAAAGTCTTTTAAAAAGCTTGTTATTTGGAAACAGAGGAGCAAACATCCTTAAGCCAAGTTTTGTGATTATAGGTCACTTAGTATCTGAAATCTTAATTTGAACCTCAAATCATTAAAAATAAGTCAAGTCTCCACACAAAGTATCTCTACAACACTAAATAGGAATTTCAGGACAAATTTATCTAGGATCTAAAATGGGATGTTAAATTCAATGGAAGTTAGTGAATGCTTAATTATGAATTTTTTAATACATATAATATTCGTAACAAGTGGATATTCCGTGTTTACATATCCATCACCACAAGCACCGAAATGTAGCATTACAAACTTTAGAAAATATAGATTTATTAAACACTATCATATAAAATTATTGCTCATGAAAATAATACGGTACATTATTCTTCATTTGTGATAATTCATTGAAGGAGAAAATATTGGTCAGAGTGACCTAATTTTTATGGACGGTTTAAATTACCAGTGTAACAAGCAGGGGTTAAACCTGGAATCCTTGGCACAGCACAAAAAGCAGTAACCATTCTACTAGCTAAGCTAAAACAAGTACTCCACTAGCACAACTGAACAAATATTAATAAAGACAACATTTAATTTTATGAAGACAAACTCTCTTGATTTTGATGATTTGTCCTTAGTATCATGACTACTGTCATTAAAAATTGGAGCAATTACAAGCATGTCTCAAAACTATCTTATTTTCTTTAATTAAGTCTTAGGAAATTTTCACACAGTATGAAAATAAGAAGATGTGGTAAAAATGCCAATAAGACAACTACCCACCAGAGACAAAAAGACATAGTTCTATGTACAAATAAAGGTCTCTATACAGCCTTCATCAATGATCAAAACCCATACCGTATAGTAAGCTATACAAGGTCCCCAAAATGACAAATGTAAAACAATTAAAACAAGTAAATTAAGTAATAGACCAAATTACATAACAGCTATAGATCATCGTATGTTCTTCAACAATGAGCAAAACCTGTACTGCATAGTCAGCCATAAAAGGCCCGAAATGACAAATTTAAACAATTCAAACTAGAAAACAAACAGCCTGATTTATGTACAAAATAATGAACGAAAAACAAATATGATATACAGCAACAAACAACAACCACTGAATTATAGTTTGAAAGCCCATGAATACAAGTTAATATAGATTAATTTTGATGAACTTTCAAAATGGTGTTTCAGAGTTCGGGGAATTTAGATTAAGTACTGTTTGTCTAGATTCTTTCGCACAATCTAATGAAACTTTATAACTATCTTATACAGCCAGTAGAAGCTACATTTTTTTTTCACTCAAATTTACAGTATTTTCAATTTCTTTTTATGGTTTAAATGATCTTCAATAGATGATATAAGGGGGCAGTGTTTTCTTTTCAATTAACTTGTCTAACATCATTTTCACCTACTAAAATGTGATTGAAATGAATAATTGACAGATTGAACACCAGCAAAAGATGAAGAATGAAGGAAAAAGATTGAGAGATTCAAAAGATGTTGTTATGGAGAAGTTGTTTGCAGCTTTTGAGAAACATCAGTATTACAATGTTAAAGATTTAGTACGGGTGACTAATCAACCAATTGTAAGTTTAATAATTTATAATCAAGTTGTCAATCCGGACAAACTTCTTTTTATACGGCCGCAAAAAATATTGCGGTCAAATATTGGTATCACTTCGTCGTCGTCGGAAGACAGTTGGTTTCCAGACAATAACTTTAGTATAATTAAATAGAAATCTATGAAATTTAAGCACAAGGTTTATAACCACAAAAGGAAGGTTGGGATTGATTTTGGGGGTTATGGTCCTAACAGTTTAGGAATTAGGGGCCAAAAAGAGGCCAAAAATAAGCATTTTCTAGTTTCCAGACAATAACTTGTGGAACGGTGTATGGATCTCTGAAATTATACCACAAGTTTCCATACCACAAAGGGATGGTTAGGATTTGCTTTGGGGGGGGTTATGGCTCAAACCGTTTAGGAATTAGGGGCAAGAAAGGGGGAAAAACAAGGTTGTCCTGGTTAATAGACAAATAGTTTAGTACAAAACATAATTTAAAGCAGTGTAAGGGAGATAAATCAAATACATCATTTGAATTACCTCCCTTACACTGCTTTTAAATTATGTATAAAGTAATGGTTAATGAACAATTAATACAATTTAAAAGCAGTGTAAGGGAGGTAATCCAAATACAACGTTATGTTTAAATAAATGCATATTTATAAAGGAAGACCAGTAAAAATATCTGCAAATGTTGCATCTTTTTTTTTTTACAAAAAAATCCATATGAAAGATTTGACACCATATTTTAAATTTAATTACAAAATAGAATAAGTTAGCACTATGGTAAATTTAAATGGGTAATTATGATTGCAAACTCCATTGGAAATTTGAAAATTTCGAGAAGTAATATATAATTGCACAGTATGGCGCATTAGATTTGTAAAATCTTTGACAACAATTATTTCTTTGATATGCCGAATCTAACCGTGTATTTAGATTTTTAATTTTGGGTCCAGTTTTCAAATTGGTCTACATTAAGGTTCAAAGGGTCCAAAATTAAACTAAGTTTGATTTTAACAAAAATTGAATATATGGGGTTCTTTGATATGCTAAATCTAAACATGTATTTAGATTTTTGATTTTTGGTCCAGTTTTCAAGTTGGTCCAAATTGGTGTCCAAAATTAAACTTTGTTTGATTTCAACAAAAATTGAATATAGGGGGTTCTTTGATATGCTGAATCTAACCATGTATTTTGATTTTTGGGCCCCGTTATCAAATTGGTCCACATTGAGGTCAAAAGGGTCCAAACTTAAACTTTGTTTGATTTCATCAAAAATTGAATTCTTTGGATTCTTTGATATGCTGAATCTACCCATGTATTTAGATTTTGGATATTGGACCATAATAGGTAAATTAAAAATTTTAAAGTTCTTAGACCACATTCATTCTGTGTCAGAAACCTATGCTGTGTCAAATATTTAATCACAATCCAAATTCAGAGCTGTATCAAGCTTGAATGTTGTGTCCATACTTGCCCCAACTGTTCAGGGTTCAACCTCTGCTGTCGTAACAAGCTGCGCCCAGTGGAGCATTTTATTATTTTGTACATTGTGAGATCCTAATATGCACATCTGCATATGGTTAAGATGTTCGGGTTCATTGAGTATTTTTATACCCCCGCCATAGCAGAGTGGGCATTAAGTTTTACCCTTGTCTGTCTGTACGTCATTTGGTTTCTGTTCTCAACCTAAAGTTTGCCTCAACCAAATGTTATGAAACTTATACACAATGCTTATTTCCACAAAACACAGATCAAGTTTGAATTTAGGTGTCATCTTTTACCGTTCTAGAGTTATGCCCCTTTACAAATGGAAAAATTGCTGAATTTTTCATTTCCATTCTCTAACTTAAGTTTGCCTTAACCAAATGTTTTGAAACTTATACACAATGCTTATTACCACCAAAAAAACAGATCAAGGTTGAATTTTGGTGTCATCACTTTAACCGTTCTAGAGTTATGCCCTGAACAAATGAAAAATTACTGAATTTTTCGTTTCTGTTCTCTAACTTAAGTTTGCCTCAACCAAATGTTATGAATCTTATACACAATGCTTTTTACCACAAAACACAGATCAAGTACAAATTTTGGTGGCGTCACTTTTACTGTTCTTGAGTTATGTCCCTTTATAACGTTATATGCAAACGGGTACATCATCTGTGTCCCATGGACACATTCCCTATTTATTTAGTTATGCCCCTTTGAACTTAGAAATTTTGTCAGAACATACAGTGTAATACATGCGTTACTTTATATACAAGGAACTGAATACATTGTTAGATCTTAAAACAAGGAATTATTTGAATCTGGAATAATTTTGAATTCTGGAAAATTGATTAGAAATGTATGATGAAAACTAACCCAACTAAATAGGGTTAGCCATGCGCGCATGGCTAAGGTTAATTTTACTTTCACTATCATTTCAGTATGAACTAACTAACCCCCCTTAGCCATGCGCGCATGGCTAACCCTATTTAGTTGGGTTAGTTTTCATCATAAATTTCTCATCAATTTTCCAGAATTAAAAATTATTCCAGATTCAAATAATTCCTTGTTTTAAGAGCTTGTCTCACAGAAAACCATGCAAAATTTGAAAAATCGTCCAGGAGGGTGGTTAAAACTTTTCCAGCTAATGAAGTTTTTTGATATCTTAGGTTCAATGGAAACCAGAAAATATGTTTTAGACTTCTCTGAATTGTGTCTATTTTTAGTAACAAGCTAATTTGCATAATTGAATAAAATTAGCTAAAAAAAACCTTCAAATATATGTTTAGTTGAAAGTACTTTAAAAGTCATCAAATTAGTTCTATTGGGTTTCTAGTCATTTATATTGTGGAAATAGATATGAAAGATCATAAATTATGCATTTATAAAGCATTTTCTATTTTTTGGCACACTGAAAGGGTGCTCTCTTTAATGCCTTATTTTGTATATGTCATTTACTAGCCAAGTTCAAGTCACTGGTTTTCGAAAAGGTGAGCACATAAATACATGAAATAAATTTCTTTACACACCTTTTTATTGGATTAAAAAAATATAAAAAATCCACCCATGGCAAATTAGTAGAAATAGCCTTATTTTTAACTCTAAAAACCCACCTCAAGCCTTTTCCCACATTTTTTACTAAACTAGTTTTGGGTATATATCAAACAAAATATGATGTTATTATCATTTTACATGTTCAATTTTGAACATTTCAAAGATTTTATTCAGATAAGATACTTTGCAAATGTATAACATCTGAATAAATAAGATATTGTAACTTTCATTAAATAATTGTTATCAAGAGTTATCTCCCTGTAAATTGTTCTCCATAAGACTATAAAGAAGGTAACTGCTCATATGCAGACCTCCCTGACACTAGCAACTAACTTACTAAGCCTTTTTGTGTTAGTAGGACCTTACCTAAGCTCTTTGAGTGGCATAAAGATACATCACACTTTGTATTGATGTCAATATTGCAATATGAAGAGAAAATTCTTGAGTATTCTCACATTTTGTCAGCTCAGTGCTTCTGCACGAAAATGTCCTGTCACTGAGTGTCAGATATAATAGAAACGTAGAGCTGACACAGAGAGATTATGTTGAGGTGAAGAGAAGAAGGAATTTAGTTTGCTGTTGCTATTATGACCACAACGAACGTCAAGTTAAAAGCAGGTCTTGGACTTCCGTACAGAAAACTGAACAGACACATACAGCATGTAAACTACAGCAGGTAAATATAACAAATGAATCATTGTCTGCATATATAATATTAAGCACCAAAGAAGGGTCTGCCAATACACACCCATTATAGCCAGGGGGGATTCGAGGGGTTAGTATGAAGCCCCCCCCCCCCGTAAAACAAATAAGCACTGTGTAAGTCGATGTTCTGTTATGATTGTATTGCGAGTATTGTGTAGTTCTAAGGAAATTTAACCGCAGCTGTAATCCTTTTACAGTTTAGGATTCCAAGTCCAGAGTCTCTGACGAGCCCAATTAAGAAAATCTTTCCGGGGGGTGGGGGTGGGGGGGGGGGGGGGGGGGGGGGGATTTCCCGGGTAACAGTCACCAGTGACAGTCTATACTTTGTTAGTATAGAAAGTCCCTGCATTCACTTTTTTGTGACAAATACATATATCCATCATGTATACATGTACATAAATATTAATGTCATGAATGTAATTTTGGCAAGATATATAATAATACATGTATTTACTAGATATAGGAAGATGTGGTATGAGTGCCAATGAGACAACTCTCCATCCAAGTTACAATTTATAAAAGTAAACCATTATAGGTCAAGGTACGGCCTTCAACACGGAGCATTGGCTCACACCGAACAGCAAGCTATAAAGGGCCCCAAAAAATTTACATATATTTCCAATAGGCAATACTTTTTTATATGCCCGTTTATGGGACTTATTATGGTATAACTTTGTAAGTCCATCCGTCCATCTGATATGGCATTGAGAAGTTATTGAACTTTTATTTTTGTAACAGCAACAGGAGCTAATGGCAAAGCTGTTCATTTGTCTCTTACATTGCAAACATACATGACATATGTACCAAAACCAAATTTTAGGCATTACATTTCAGTATAATTTTCGATCAATAATGTTGCAAGATTTTTTGTGAAAAGAGCTCAAGTTGTTTACAATAACAAATGATTAAATACATAAAATAAATAAAAGGGTTAATAAAGTCAGCAACCTAATGACAAAAATTCCCAAATCAAAATCATTGGTGATATATATATCCTTCGTACATGTCGTATGTATTATCTATCAACATGCAGATTACAATAACAGGTATAGTACATGTATCATCTATGTCAAGCTCTAAATTTTTTGTTATCTTTCATATGAACTGGGAATTAATTTAACAGAAACAGTGGTTGTCGTTGGTTCTTGTCTGTCATATATATATATATTGGTTTTTTCGTATATTATTTTGATATGAAAATATGCTGTTAGTTTTCTCAGTTGACATTCTTCATGTCCAGTACTTATAACCAGTGATTCTGTATGAGTATGGGTTTTTCTCATTGTTGAAGGTCAAATGGTTGCCTCTTATTGCTTACATACATGCACTTCATTTGAACTTTGGATAGTTGTCTCATTGGCAATCATACCACGTCTCCTTATTATTTTTATAACAATCTGCTAATAATCCCTCATTTTCAATTGTCAAAATTTACACTTTTTGTTTAAAACAATTATCGATCATTATACAACATAAATGTGGATTGTTCCACATGTGGACACAGATGATGCCCCCGCTTGCATATCATATAGTTATAAAGCTAAGGGACATAACTGAAGAACGGTAAAAGTGACGCTACCCAAATTTGAACTGAGTTTTGTGGTAATAAGCATTGTGTGTAAGTCTCATAACATGTGGTTGAGGCTAACTTAAGTAGAGAACAGAAACGAAAATTTCAGCAATGTTTATATTTGTTAACACGCATAACTCTAGAACGGTTGTGTATAAGTTTTATAACATTTGGTTGAGACAAACTAAAGTTAGAGAATGGAAACGAAAAATTCAGCAATTTTTATGTTTATAAACGGACATAACTAAGAATGGTAAAAGTGACGCCACGGAATTTCGTACTTAATCTGTATTATGTAGTAATAAGCATTGTGTATAAGTTTCATAACATTTGGTTGAGGCAAACTAAAGTTAGAGAACGGAAACAATATTTGTATTTGATCTTAGTTTTGTGGTAATGAGTATTGTGTATAGGTTTCATAATGTTTGGTTGGGGCAAACTTAAGTTACAGAATGGAAACTAAAAATTTTGCAATTTTTCGATTTATAAAGGGGCATAACTCAATAATGGTTAAAGTGACACTACCCAAATTCAACTTGATCTGTGTTTTATCAGTGGAAGGCAAAATTAAACATTGTATTGTATAAAGCATTGATTGTAGTTGATTTAACTATAATCATGGACAAAGGAAGATAACTCTAATTTAAAAAAAAATTACTTGAATAATGACATTGATATTTTTGGAAAAAAAATTTGTAAAGGGGCATAACCCGAGAACAGTAAAAGTGACGCCCCCAAAATTCAAACTTGATCTGTGTATTGTGTTACTAAGCATTGTGTATAAGTTTCATAATATTTGGATGAGGCAAACTTAAGTTAGAGAACGGAAATGAAAAAATTTGCAATTTTTCCATTTATAAAGGGGCATAACTCTAGAATGGTTCAAGTGACGCCACCAAAATTCAAACTTGATCTATGTTTTGTGGTAATTAGCATTGTGTATAAGTTTGATAACATTTGGTTGAGGAAAACTTAAGTTAGAGAACGGAAACCAATTTTGGGACGTCCGTACGTATGGACGGACAAGGGTAAAACTAAATGCCCCCTCCGCATTGAATTTTTGGTTTGCACTCCGTCTATCTGTCTGTCTGTCATTCCATCAGTTGGGAAAATCAGTTTACCTCACTTTTTTTCTTTGTGCTTGAAAATATTGATTTGATATTTGATATCTATTTTCATCATAACAAGTTACAGATCAAGTTCAAATTTTGTTCCGTTCCGATGATTTTGCCCAGAGTTATGGTCAATAGACTTAATAAATTCACTCAAATATTCAGGTTTCCGCACATTTTTTATCATGGTTGTAGATATTGACTTGATATTTATTACAATACACCATGCCAAGTTATAGATTAAGTATAGCATTTTGCTCCAGTATAATGAAATTTTAACCGGTAGGGGACTATGTATTGCCATGCATGATACTATACTCTCTCACTCTCATAAGTATTGTCATGATTGAAATTCGTTATTTTAAAAATGAGTAAAAGTAAGTTAAAATTTAAATTAACCAATTCTGTTTACATTTCAATGTTAACCATGCAGGCGAAATCGAAATTGTTCTCAGGGCTGGAATACATGTATTTTTAAGGTTGGGATTTTAAAATCTAATTTAAAGTTATCATATTAGTATGTACATACATGTACATGTATAGTTACATCAGTTTTTTGCACACATCATGCACATGAGTAAAAGGAGATGTGGATTATATGTCAATGGGACAGCAACCCAACATCATTGTCGATTGTATTAAAATTGTTTTTTATTATATATATAAGATGTTGTTTCTTTCTGTCATATTTTGGTTTCTGTTCAAAAGGATTATATTTGTATATCTAACAATGTAATTTTTTCATGTTTCAGGTCGTCCAGGCTATTCAGTGAGCACATACTTCCGAAGCTATTCATTGCTAGAGCAGTATAACTGATATGTACAATGTACAAGAAAACAAGCCGCCTATGAATGAAATTTCAACAGTCAAAGCTACTTACCGTTTAGCATGATGCACATGTTAATTTTTTTCTGTGCATGTCCTGATCTGCATAAATCATGATAGAAGTTGTGGAGAAATTTCATACTTGAAAAAACATGTACAAAATGTTTCAAAAGGATAGAAATTATAGTACATGTTTAATAGGATAGGACAAGACTGAATTTCCAGGCTTCAAAGTGCAAATATTCATGTGTGGATATGGTGGATATATTGAACTTAGCAGTTATGTAGGATACTGAATAAAATGTCAGCAGATATTCAGAAAATGGAGTTGGAAAGGCTACATAGCAGTAAGAGAAAAGTATTAAGATTCACACTGCAAGTCCAAAACTACTTATACATGTATCTGTGAAGCTGGTGTAGAACTGGAAAAATTCCATATTTTATGTAATCATGGTATTTAGTCATAATCATGATAATCATGATTATAATGAAGCTCCAAATTACATAAACTGCAATAGTTGCCCAAGTTGGATAATTTGTTAAAAAGGAAACCGATTAACAACTTAAAAAACTAAAAGAATCAATGCATACTTTCTGTACGAAAAATCAGAGACCTCAACCACCTACAGTTAGTTTCTGAAAATGAAAGTGAATAAGTGACGATAGAGAGAACCTACCCAAAATAAGAATTATGCTAGTCATGATAGATATTAGATGTGTTGATCTTGTTTTTGTGAATATACAATGAGAATTATAAGCCAGAATGGAAGTGACAATTCATAGAATAGTACAAAGACAAAGATATTGCTACTTTTGCTGTAAATTGAAAGTTGATCAGTTTTTGCCAAGTCAGCTGGTATCAATGATTTTATGAACTATAAATTCTATAATCATGATAATGATTAATCATTTGAATGTCATTATGGGCTATTAAAAAGAAATGTAAAGGATTCAGTGTCTTATTGTATAAAAACAAACAAAAAAAGCTAAAATTTTGTGTAATTTACACTGGAAAAAAAAAGATTCTGATTTGTTTTTTTTAGTTAAAAATTGATAAAAAAATATTCTGTCATCACCTTTTCAAACCTGACCTACATGTAACCAAGCTCTTTTCATTTTGACTAATGTTAGGATTTGTGTTTTTCTAATTTTACAGCCTCCATATCAGGTACTATTGGACCAAAATATTGAATAACGGGCATAATTACACACAAATTAATGTTCATGAGTAGCATGGAAAATTTCCAACAACATTACATTTGAATAAATATGCCGATTCAGCACATTTCTGTGCTTATATTTCATTATGATTATTAAAGTACATATAAAAGCAGGTGCCAGATATACTCAAGGAAACAGGTTAAAGACAAAACATGCAATTAGCAGTTTCAAATTGCTAATTGCATGTATTTTGAATCTAACCGTCTTTCCATGACAGCTTTTAGTACTTTGATTATCGTTTTCACTATGATTTTGCTTTGAATTAATAAGAAACAGCAGTCGAAGTATAAAATCACTCATTTTGATAAGAATTGCACCCTAATTTGTGACTTTGTGTTAAGAAAAAGTTTTTGTTACATGAAGTTTTTTATAAAAATACTATGAAAAATAGCCGTACAGTGATATATAATAAATATATTTCTAAATATTTGCCGTGGGTGGATTTTTTATATTTCTTTAAGCTATCATAGTAGTTCATTTTGATATATTCATCTTTTAATTACAGCTTCACCTTTTCTAAATTTTAGCATTTCTTCAGGTCCTAAATTTGGTAAAATAGCCAAATCCTCAAACACCTGTTTAATAAATATACAGGCCCTACTTAAAAAAAATCAAATATATATTTATTTCTTACATAATTTTATTTCCTTAATAATGCTTTATCACATGCATTGGGCAAAAGAGATATTTATCATGGCTAGAACTGTTTATTTGTTGGATTAAAATTCATAAAAAAACCTTGAATTTGGAAATTTTCCCGTAAAAAAAGGGAGAAAATAGATGGCGCTGTAAAACTCTGCTATCCGATAAAATTTAAGCAAAAAATTTTGCAAGTGATATTGGCATGGCCTAAGTGTTGTGTGTACCAAATTTCAAGAGATTCCGCAAAATTCACTCCTGGACACTTTTGCATGGTTTTCTGTGAGACAAGCTCTTAATACACAGATATGCCTGTGGGTAGGATGTTATGGTCCATTAAGTTTTTTTTGTAGTTCTACCCTTTTCAACTTAGAATTTTACATGAACTCTATTCCTTGCCTGGAAACACAAACATTCAGACTTCAAATTACACTTAAAGGTGTACAGTTTTATGAGTATATATTTTGTATTCATGAGCTCATCTCTCCATTTGACTGAAGTGTGCTGTCGTCCCTACTTAGTACTAGTTTTCAGTTGTCAACATCCTTGTCCTTTGACCTTTGGTAGATAGTTGTCTCATTGGCAATCATACAACATTTTCCTTTTGTTTGACCTCTTATATGATAGCCCAGAAATAATGAATTTTATCCTTTATGTGTTTTTGGCCTGACCATTTGTATAAAAAAAATTTCCAAGTGGATCTGGATCACAATCTTACCAGCTGTGTAAAAGATTACTGCCACTGTTGCTAATGATATTTACATTGCATATTTTACCATGTGAGCAATTCAGATGCTTGGAAGCCTATAATATTTTACCATGTGAGCAATTCAGATGCTTGGAAGCCTATAATATTTTACTATGTGAGCAATTCAGATGCTTGCATTTGGAAGCCTATAATATTTTACCATGTGAGCAATTCAGATGCTTGGAAGCCTATCGTTTTAAAAAGTTACAGATACACTATGAATATTATTCCAATTGGCTTACTTTTGACCTAATTATTACCCTTGGACTTTCTTTTTGTTCATTCATTGTTGCAGGTGTTGTCAGATTTTATTATAATTGTAGTATAGAACATAGTTTCAAATCACATATGAGTTTTGTTCTAGTTAACCTACATTTGATCTTATTAAGTCTATTGGACCTAAATTACTTCATTAAATTGTTTTACAGCTCATAGATTTAACACTACATAAGATAAATACCTGATGCTTAAAAATGTCATAGGTTAAACAGTGCATAGGAAGACTGGTTATTTTTGTAGAGTATCACAGTGGAAATCTTATGACAAACCATTATTTATTACCCTTGCAAACACTGACAAATGAAACTCAGTAACAGTGTAACAGCTTATATGTTAAACACTATACATAAGATAAATACATGATGCTTAAAAATGTCATAGGGCCATAGGTAAAATACTGCATAGGAAGACTGGTTATTTTTGTAGAGTGGGAGATCTAATGACAAAAGAAATTATTATCCTTGTAAACACTTACAAATTTAACTTTTTAATGTTTGACATTCTCTACAATGATGCTATCAATTATAAGTTCACAAGAAAAAGTTCTGGTTAAAGTTGGAATGAAAACAGATTAAGATAAAAAGATAATTACCATATAATGTAATCAATTCTCTCTTAATATAGCAAATGATGAGAACAGCAGGCTATAGTTTTGTGAAAAATTAGTTTGAAATTTTGCTTTACAAATAGATTCCTCACAAAGCAACTTCATTTTTAGCCTTGACAGAGTCAAAAAGCAAGACATAGGTATACTGTTTCCAGCGTCAACAATGTATTAGTTTGTGAATATGTCAATTTATGGAAAAACACATGTGGTAAGTCAATGATATTTGGTATGCAGTTGTATTAGCATTGGCACATCCAGTTTCCATGGAGATTATTTGGCTTTGCCCCCATCAGTCATGGTCTATTGACTTTGATACTTTTGCTTAGCTTACATGTATTAGTTTGTGATTAAGTCAGTTTATGGGGAACCACTAGTGGTAGGTCAATGATATATGGTATGCAGTTGTATTAACATTGGCATATCTCATTTCCATGTTGATTATTTGGCCCCACCCCTTCATTCATGGTCTATTGACTTTGAATGTTTTTATACGACCGCAAAAATTGAAAATTTTTTGGTCGTATATTGGTATGACGTTGGCGTCGTCGTCGTCGTCGTCGTCGTCTGGCGTCGTCCGGCATCGTCCGAAGACACATTGGTTTTCGCACTCTAACTTTAGTTTAAGTGAATGGATCTCCATGAAATTTTACCATAAGGTTCAATACCACGAAAGGAAGGTGGGGATTGATTTTGGGGGTTATGGTACCAACAGTTAAGGAATTAGGGGCCAAAAAGGGGCCAAAAATAAGCATTTTTGTAACTTCCAGACAATAACTTGTGTGTAAGTGGATGGATCTCTCTGACATTGTACCACAAGGTTCCATATCACAAAGGGAAGGCTGTAATTGATTTTGGGGGTAATTGCCTCAAAATTTTAGGAATTAGGGGCCAAAAAAGGGGCAAAAAACAAGCATTTTTCTAGTTTCATGACAATAACTTGTGTGTAAGTGTTTGGATATTTCTGAAATTGTACTACAAGGTTCCATATCACAAAGGGAAAGCTGGAATTGAGTTTGGGGGTAATTGCCTGAAACGTTTAGGAATTGGGGGCCAAAAAGGGGCCAAAAATAAGCATTTTTCTAGTTTCCAGACAATAACTTGTGTTCAAGTGTATGGATCTCTCTGAAATTGTACTGCAAGGTACCATACCACAAAGGGAAGGCTGGGATTGAGTTTGGAGGTGATGAATCATAAGGGGTTTCAAAAAAATTGGGGGGAGGGGGAATTTTTTTTTTTTCTTTTTTTCCTTTTTTTTTCTTTTAAAATTTTCCATTTTAAGTTGGTTATTTCTGATTAATATTTAAAAGCAAATAATAATGATATGGTAGGAGATACACACCAAACAGGATGTGTAAATTATTATATAATAAGTATTGTGCAATAGCAAGAAATTTTCAATTGCACAGTATTGCACAATTGCAAGAAATCTTCAATTGCACAGTATTGCGCAATAGCAAGAAATCTTCAATTGCACAGTATTGCGCAATAGCAAGAAATATCCAATAGCACAATATTGCGCAATAGCAAGAAATTGTCAATTGTACAGTATTGCACAATAGCAAGAAATATTCAATTGCACAGTATTGTGCAAAAGAAGATACTTCATATAAATTGCTTATTTCTTGATCAATTTCAATGGGGTTTTATTCTTGAATTCTTGGGGTTCTTTAATATGCTGAATCTAACCGTGTATTAAGTTTTTGGATTTTGGGCCCCGTTTTTAAATTGGTCCACATTGAGGTCCAAAGGGTCCAAAATTTAACTTTGTTTGATTTCATCAAAAATTGAATTATTGGGGTTCTTTGATATGCCGAATCTAACCGTGTATTTAGATTTTTAATTTTTGGTTCCGTTTTCAAATTGGTCTACATTAAGGTCAAAAGGGTCCAAAATTAAACTTAGTTTGATTTTAACAAAAATTGAATTTTTAGGGTACTTTGATATGCTGAATCTAAACATGTATTTAGATTTTTGATTATGGGCCCAGTTTTCAAGTTGGTCCAAATCGGGGTCCAAAATTAAACTTTGTTTGATTTCAACAAAAATTGAATATATGGGGTTCTTTGATATGCTGAATCTAACCATGTATTTAGATTTTTTATTTTTGGGCCCCGTTATCAACTTTGTCCACATTGAGGTAAAAAGGGTCCAAAATTAAACTTTGTTTGATTTCATCAAAAATTGAATTCTTGGGGTTCTTTGATATGCTGAATCTAACCATGTATTTAGATTTTTTATTTGTGGACCCGCTATCAAATTGGTTCATATTGAGGTCAAAAGGGTCCAAAATTAAACTTTGTTTGATTTCATCAAAAATTGAATTATTGGGGTTCTTTGATATGCCAAATCTAACCGTGTATTTAGATTTTTAAATTGGTCTACATTAAGGTCCAAAGGGTCCAAAATTAAACTTAGTTTGATTTTAACAAAAATTGAATTCTTGGGGTTCTTTGATA